CTAGAAATTTATTGTTTATTACCAATAAAAGATTTACTTGCTTTAGCCTACATATATTTGCTCTAGGTTTTCCCTTCAGTTTTACTCCTTGTTCCCGAATGATATGCTCTGAAAACAAGTAACACTGACAGCAGGCGCTCTGAGTGGTTCTGGTTTTAAGTTGTTGGCTGGTTTCTCGCACTCCTTTTCAAGCTGCTGATCATAACGTACACGTTTGTCGTTTACATTCGGGAAAAAGAAAACCGGTCAAATCCTAGCTCAAGCTTGAGGAAAGGGTCAACCAGCATACGGTGCGTCAAACTTTTCCGCCCTTAGCTGCTAGGTCTGTTGCCAACTAAAAAAAAAATACTTGCTACCCTATACTTCTCCATCATGTCGGTAAGATATAGAATGAAGGACTGTGCTGGATTTCTTCTTTACACTTTTAATATTGTGTAAGATCCTGCTTAAAACTTGGAAGAAAAAAAATCATTAAACTTTTTTATGTCATCAGTTATTATGGTTGGTTATTGCTGCTTTTCAGTTTAACCAGGGCAGTCAAAAAATGAAACTTCTGAGCGTACAATGTTTGAATTTTACGTATCTTTCACGCACAGGAAAAAACATAAATACATGTAAATCTTACCACACTGATTGTTTTTTTACTGTATAAAAAGCAATGTTACTTTTCTTGGAGAACTTTCAATACCCTACCTAAAAGTAGGTTGGTAATGATGTAGATACCATATGTCAGGTAGGTAGATTGTTTTGAGTCGGTGTCGGAACTGTTTTGCGACAACAGAAAACAATGAATAACCCCATGGACTACATTACTACTCCAAAGGTTTGTATAGTTTTGAATACCATTCTTTGTGCTTTGGTCCCTGACCTACCGAGAGCACTGTAAGTTTTGTATCAGCTGCACTTTGCTGCGAAAATATGCTCATAACCTATAGTGCAAATCAGCTGAGAGCAAATAAGAAAAAGTCTATTAGCAAATCCTGTCAAACTCTTGCTTCTCACACTGTTCATTTTGTTTAACGAAATGTCATTGTTTTTGAATCCATAGTATGTATCGATAGTGCCGAAGCTGTTTGACACTATGCTGCACCTTTATTTATCTTTCTCATGGTTGTGCTGGGTGCTGGGCTTGTTGAAAGTCCTATTTCTTTGATAAACTAGCTTAATAGCATCATCTTAAATCATCAGTTTTCTTAAATCAAGTCTCTCTTTGCTTTGAGTTTTCCTATTTTTTTTTAAAAACTGCTTAGAGGCCCTAATTACTGTATTTTGAACATTATAAACAACTTTTGGCCATAGTTCATTTTGAGGTGCATTTCTTATGCAAACAGTCAACATTTCTGCCGTAAATGTACAGCGGCATTGTGTTAAGTTTGAAGTTGTCCATGCATGTGGCCTCTACAGGTGGATGGGAAATCTGTAAGGTACCAAGGACCCCCTGTCACTTTTGTCGGCTTTGTGAAGTATAACTAATGTGGCTGCAGCAGTGGTCCATAATTTTGATTGGATTTACCTGTAGTACTTCTGTCTTATGATAGTGCTTTTTCTAACCACTGTCTCATCTTACATCTTTGACTTGAGTACAGTCTAATGGCTTGGTTTACTGTGAGACACTGTTGTCTATTACACATGGGTCCATGTTTGAATGTTAAGTCAATTGTCATTTGCTGTAGTAAGAATGAAACTGTCTTCCTTAAGTTCTGCATGTGCAAATTACCAAGCTTGTGAAAGTATGGTAGAGCAGTGCACAGAATCTCATGGCTTTTCAAAATTCTACACGTCCCAGCACAAGCTGTGCTACTTTATGAGCCATGAACCAAGGAGCCAAACCGACGAGCCATCGGTAGCTGTAGCTACGGTCGTAGGACATATAAACTAAATTACGAATTTTTGCTTGAATTGTGAATATTTGAATTTGTCGGCCACTCGTGACAGGCTCCGTTTTCTGCCTGCTAGTACTGTTTTTTTGTTTTTTTTTACGGTCAACAATCAGACACATTATCCTATCGGTTTATCAAGCTACTCAGGACCTCTAGCACCCCTTGGCACTCAACACTCCTTTAACTAGAAGAAACCGCGAGATTCAATCATGCAGTGCTAACTAAAGTCCACCAAGCACGCCATTTAATTGGATGTTGAACTCTATAGTGAAGGTAGTTATGCTTGGGTAAAACTTTTCAAAATTGTAGCCAGATTAAAACGCCCCATACTGCTCTTATTTGTTTTCTTTACTTACTACCTACGGGTTGAATATATTGAAATACCTTCCCCTTTCGCATGGTCCGTCTACTTGAAACCACTATCACCTCCCCCCAAGCCACCCCCAAGCCGCCCCAAAGCCACCCCCATCACCTACCCATTCCCGACCCCCACCCTAGATTTCCAACACTCCCACCCTCATCCGCTTCTCCCCTAACCGTGACCCTGAACAGGATAGGTGCGGGGTGAGGGGATGGGCAGGGGAGCCTCCCTCCCCCCCCCTCTTTTCCATTTACCCTCGGTTTCGCCACCAGCGCTTAAGCCACGGGCCGTAGCAGACGGTAGGCGGTCAGAGGCCAGCGGGATAATGGCCTGGGCTTGGTGGCCCGTTCGCCGCGGGCCACTGCAGGGGCCAGCACCTGGCTGGAGCGCCCCGCCCCACCCGCGCCCTCACCCTTGCGTCCCGCCCTGCCCCGCCCCGCCCTCAACGCCTGCGCAGCCACGACGGCGCCTCCAAGACCACTCTACTCTAAGACGGAGCGACACCTGCGCCCGCAGCCACCCTTGCGCCTACTCCTCCCTCGGGACGGACGTGCCTACTGCTAGGCGTATGCCCCTGTGACCATTACATCATGTTACGCCCAGGTCCCTTTATCGGGGGGTGAATCCGATAGGTACGCTTGTGAGGCAGGCCTGCAGCGACAGCAACCCCTCCCCCTCCCTCCCTATACAGCAGTAGTTACCCCACTGCGCCCCCCTAGAAATTTATTGTTTATTACCAATAAAAGATTTACTTGCTTTAGCCTACATATATTTGCTCTAGGTTTTCCCTTCAGTTTTACTCCTTGTTCC